AAGCAAAACAGTTCCCGTATACAAATGACTGGAAACAGCAACTTTCACTGCGGAGAGTCTTGTTCGAATGCTACTTCCAACAGGATTAGGGAAAACCTGCTTGGGATGGTGAGGGGCCAGTTACTCTGCCATGCCTCAGTTTCCTCCTTTGTGAAATAATCCTGACCCCACTTTGTAAACTACCATGGGTCCTGCTCGGCAAAGTGCGAGGCAGGTGCTGGAAACCTCTGTCACCGCTGTTTCAGACTCTACGCTGGATTTCAGTGCTGCAGCTCCCACCCAGTAAAATAAGAGCCCGAATTGTTCATCCTTTGCTAATCTGCAATAAATGGCTTTACTTGATTTGCTGTTTGTGCTCGGGAGGATTTAACTGGCTGAGAGCTGCTGGCACATGCCGGGAATCTCCAGTTTTGTGACAACTGTTAAGTCCTGACCCTACGAAACAGAAGGTGTGAACTCGTGTGTGCCTCAAGGCAGCACAGGGAGCAACAGGCTGGGAGCAGCACACTTGAAGCTGCACACTTAACGTTGCACATTCGAGGGACGTGGTGACGGAAGGACCAGTGCTCACCAGTACAAACAGCGATGGGTACCGGGCGAGGTGCCACAGATGCTCTTGCCGGCATCCCAGTGAGTGAGGGGAAGAGCAAAGCCGTGTTTCGATGGGTGGGTCCAGGACCCGGGTATCGGCTTGGGGTTTGCTGCCCCAGCTCTCGCAGAGATTAATGAGGTGCTCAAAAAAAGCAGGGGACAGGCCGGCGTTGAGGAGGGCCCCCCTCACCTGCTCGGCGGTGAGCCAGGGAGGCAGGAGTCCGAGCTGAGCAAGGTGGACAGGGAAAAGCACGTCCTGTGCTTGCGGCTGGGTTGGTTTTGCTCAAACCTGTCAGGCTGACTCCCCAGTGACACACACACACCCCCCCCCAGATGTCAGAAAAATCACATTTAAATTATTTTAGAAATAAATAACTCCTGGCGCAGCATGGAGAGGGCTCACAGCCGACTGTGCAGCAGCGGCGCATTAGGACTCTGATGGGGAAGCCATCTGCCTGAGACAAAAAGCACGGAAATTTCCTGGTAATCTCATTAACAAGTTGACACTTGCAGGTACGTGCCTGCCCCGAGCCAGGCTGTTTGCAGAGGTCACGGAGGTGTGGTTGGGTTTCTCTTTTCCTTTTGGTGCATAACAAAAAGGAGGCAAAGGGAATGAAGGGCACTGTCACCCTGAGGTGTGGGTGTGCAGGGAGCGGGGCAGCCGCTGCCTCCGTCCCCGCCGTGGGACCGTGTTGGACGAGCAGGCGAGTTAGAGATGGAGGCGGCTTCTTCAGCCTCGTCCAGCTGCCTGCAAAGGCTTCCTGTTCTCTGCTCGGTGGCTCCTACTCTGACACCATTTGTCTTCTTTCTAGGTGCCGAGGAGCAAGCAGCGACCACCCAGAGCCGTTCCTGGTGGCAACTCACCCAACTGCGCCCGTGCCCCTCGGCAGAAATGCCGGGGGGATGGTGAGAGCGGGGGGCTGTACCTCTATTTCCTCCTCTCTGTATGGGCCGGTGACACGTCACGTTCAAACCTATGAGAGGTTATAACCCACCTTTATTTTTTTCTCTCTCTCCTGCGTCACAGGAGGCTTTCCTGAGGCGCTGAGGATGCGGCAGCTCCCGCTGACCCCACGCAGCATCGTTTTCCCCTCCCTGGGCAGCTATGCCACCCTGCAGCCACCTCCCTCCTTCCCCGGGCGGGCACCGCACCCACCCGCGGAGGCATTTCGGTGAGCGGGGAACGCGTGTCCACCTCGCTGGAAACCTGGAGGAGCTGTTGGCCCTAACATTCCCTCTGTGCAGCCGCTGCCCTCGGCCATCGCTGCCCCGGCACGGCGCTCGGTCCCTGCTCCGGGGCGCGTGACCCGGCCGGGAGAGCTGGCGTGACGCCATGCTGGTAATTAAGAAGGAACCTAATGAAACTTCGAAAAATAGCACAATTTCCTCCCCACACCTGCAGCCGAGCGGGGTGGATTACATAAGTTGGTGTTGCCACAGCAACTTCACTCCACCCGGGGCTGGAGGTGGCCGGTGCCGCGTGTGCCGATGATGTGCCGTCACCCTGGGGAGAGACCCTGGTTTTGCCAAGGGGAGGGGTTGCTCCGGGGATGGGGATGGTGCCAGCTCCAGCGCCGGCGATGCCGTCTCCGGGTCAGCGCAGGGCTGCTGCGTGTTTATCCCACTGGTGTTAAAAGTCTGGCATGGTGGGTTTCCCACGTCGCGCCCACTGGGTTTTGCTCCTCTGGCGCAGCCCGTGCGCGGTGGAAGGTCCCTGCCTTCGGAAAGGGCGCGAGAATTGCCGGGAGGTGCCGTGGGGATTTAGAGGGACTCTGCCACCATGGTTACCCTGGGCACGCTCCAGCTGCCGCCGAGCCCTGGGGAGTGAATCACCCTGACAAAAAGACAGCTAGCAAAAAAACCAAAAAAAAAAAAAAAAAAAAAAAAGATAATCAAAGCAAATGTTACGGCACTGCACGAGGCAAAGGCAGGTTTTTCCTGCCACGAGTTCCCAGGGTGCTCCGGGTGGCTGCGGCGCGGCAGCTCTACCTTGGGCTCCGGCACAGCCCCGCGGGGCATGGGAAGCGCAGGCAGCATGGGCAGCACAGACCAGTCACGGGCAGCCATTGCCAATCAAGAGTTTGTGACATGGGAAAAGCCAAGGGCAACGATAATTTGCTAAATCTGCCTCTTAATGTGAGGATAAGAAATCACTGGCTGCTTCCAGCCGAAGACTCTCTTTGGGAGCAGGGGGTACGAGGGAGAAGGGTTTTCAGTACTGAGCCTTCCTGGGGATAAGGAGAAGCAGAGGATGGGAGGAAAGTGGAGCGGCTGTCTGAGAGCAGGCCTAGATGTGAGATTCTCTGAGGGTCGTCCCAAAAGGCTTCTTTTATTATGAGAAATTACAAATCCTTTTATCTTCTTCACCAGAGGAACAGCTTGTTTGAATTGCTGGGCTGTCACGCTGGAATTAGATGCAAGAACCCCCCACATCCATGACGTAGCGAAGAACTTACATAACGTAACTAAAAATAAGGTGATGGAGATGCGGATAGAGGCACTCTCTTCCTGGACGCTTGATCTGAAGTCCTTTGCCGGCACTGGAAAGCCAGCGAGGCGCCGGTGTCTGGCCGAGGGAGCGGCATCCTGCCAGGGCCCATCACAGCCTGGCCGCTCGGGATGGAGCGGGCTCGAGCGGGAAAGGGGCACTGCAAGATCCCAGCACCGACTCAGGCAGCCGAGCATCCCTCCTGGGAATGTCTCCCGTGGCAGCCTTGTTCCCAGGTCCCCCCTGGGGTTTCATCCCACTGCCGCTTCTCTTTCTCAGCCCTCGTGGGAAAGGGTTAACTGGCCGCTCCAGAAAAATGAGAAAAACCCTCCTCAGGGGTCATAAATTCTTCCCTGTCCTTTGGAGTGTGAAATCTCTGAGGGGTTAGAAGCCAAAATGGGACCCAAACGCAGCTGAAGTGAGCGGTCACCTTTGGTGCCCCCCCTGCTCCTCACCAGGGCTGGGATGGAGAGCGGGAGGCAGCAAGGGGAATAGAAACGGGAGGTTTGGGGCCAAGGTATCGACCTCGGCTGCTTGGGCTCCTTGTTCTCGGAATTGATGGAGGAGATGATGGGAAAAAAACACGCTCAGCTGCTTAACTGGTTCACCGCTTCTCGCGGCAGAGAGGAGGGAGAGGAGAGAGAGGAAGGCTTGGCCCGAGGGCTGGGACGAGGCAGCCGGTGGCAGTCTGTGCCCGGTGCCCTCCAGATGTTCCTCCTCTGTACGGCCACAGGCACGCGGTGACACCCCGGCCGCGTAAAGCTCCCTTTTAACCAGGGATCACCCTGCGGAGAGCAGCAGCCATGGTGGGGAGGGCTGTAAGGCCGGGGGACGCGGGACGCTGGCCCCGGAGCATGGCCCCGCTCCTCGTGTCCCTCAGGACCTGTGCAAAAGCTGTTGCCGCTGGCCCGAGGGACGGGAAGGATGGGGAACCATAGCTTTGCCATTCCGCGGGGACCTGACGGCCGGGAGGGCTGGCGAGGTCCTCCCAGGAAAATCCTGGTTCTTGCGGGGTGATGAGGTATGAGGCTGGCTCTGCTGGCTGGCCAGGCGGTGGGACAGCGTGGGGACAGCGAGGGGGCAGGTGGGCAGGGGCTGCATCTCCTCCTGCCTGGGCTGGTGTCCCCTGCTCCGAGCACTGCTCCAGGCTGAGGACGGGCACTGCGAGCTGTGCCGCATCGCGCCGGCCATGCACCGTGGTGACTGCTCATCCCACCTCTGCTGTCCTGGACAGCATCCACCGTCCTTCCCTGTATAAAACCAAAACCACCGGCTGGTCTTCCCCTTCCAGCTGCTCCTCACCCATCCACCCCGCACTGCAGAGCTGAGGATCGGGGCACAGCACCAGGCGTGTGGGGTACAGCGAGGGTGTGGGGTACAGCAGGGGCTGTGGTATGAGGTGTCTCAGGGATGTGGGGTACAGCAAGAGCCATGGGGTGGGGTATAGCATGGAGTATCATGGGCTATTGTATGGGGTGTAGCAGGGGGTGTAGGATGGGTTATGGGGCATAGTGGGGGTACGGCATGGGGAATAGGGTTACGGGATGGGGAATGGGGTATGGGATGCGGAATGAGGCATGGAAGGGGGTACAGCATGGGGAATGGGGTACAGGATGGGAAATGGGGAGTGGGGTTATGGGATGGGGAATGGGGAATGGAATGGGGTATGGGATGGGGGGTGGGGTTACGGGATGGGGAGTGGGGTTACGGGATGGGGAATGGGGTTACAGGATGGGAAATGGGGTTAGGGGATGGGGAATGGGTTAGGGGATGGGGAATGGGTTAGGGGATGGGGAATAGGGTTACGGGATGGGGAATGGGGTTACAGGAT